CAGTCTTTCATACTGTCTTCACGTTCTGATTCAGAGTCTGATGAGTTATTTAGCAGAGAGTCAGGATCGGTCATTTCACCATCCTCTTCATTGTCCTCATTAACGTCAGTCTTTGAAGAGCTGGAACTGTCTTTGTGAGTCTTTAAATCTGGGTTCTTGGTAAGTTGTTTTATATCCTCCTCACTCTTTAAAGAAACTGTAGTGACCAAAAACCTGATATTGGTCTCCTCCATATTGAGTTGGTCTTCCACCAGACTGGTCTAAGGGTCTTTTCTTCCACTCTATGATAAGAGGCTCTGGGTCCTGCTGGTCAATATCAGGCCTTCAGTCTTGAGGAGCTTCTTCTTTTAATCAGCTCTAAACAGAAGCAGGAACCACTGAAACACATGAACATAAAGGACAATGTTACTTCAACACACACACACACACACATACACACTCACACACACACACACACACACTCACACACACACACATACACGCACACACACAAACAATTTTACACTCACAATCACCATATTATGTCTGCATATACATTAATACCAACATATTAGTACAAAAGAACAATTTTAAAGGCTGAAAAACTAAATTTCAAGTTATTCTGTTCTGAACAAAGGACCACCTGTGACAAATTACTTTTTTTAATATCATCCTTTTGAATTTAACAAAGGGCAGCACGGTGGTGCAACTGGTAGAGCTGCTGCCTCTCAGCGAGCAGGTCCCTGGTTCAAATCCAGGTCCAGGGGCCTTTCTGGGTGGAGTTTGCATGTTCTCTCTGTGCATGTGTGGGTTTTCTCCGGGTGCTCTGGTTTCCTCCCACAGACCAAAAACATGCATGTTAGGCTGATTGATAACTCTAAATTGTCTCTAGGTGTGAGTGAGAGAGTGAATGGTTGTTTGTCTCGTTTGTCTCTATGTGGCCCTGTGATGAACTTGCGACCCGTCCAGGGTGTACCCCGCCCCTCGCACAGTGATTGCTGGACATGGGCACCGGCGACCCCCATGACCCAAAAATGGAAGAAGCAGGTAAAAGATAATGGATGGATGAATTTAACGATTACTTAACAGCTAAATCACATTTCCAGTGTCAACCTTTAGGAGTTTTATCACTGAGAATCAACTTGCTCATTATGAAGGTTGCTGTTATAAATGACAATTTATGAAATTTCTTGTTGCTATAGATACTTGAACATTAAAAATCACATGATTGTTAATAATACAGGCAAACCACCTGTTATTGAGAAGGCATCATTTATATTTCATATTTGATCATTAAATGCATTACATTTTTCATAAAGTCTGGTCCCAAATATCAACAATTTAGCTCATCCAAATCCCCAAAACCATGTTTTTAATGATTTAATACAGTGTAGGACTCAAATTTGCAAATTATGATGAACTACAAACATCTAAAACTGACTCCTTCACAGAGAGAACATTTGGAGGGTTTTGGAGGAAAAGAAAAGACAAGTTAATCAGAGACGCACCTTTGCTATAGTTTTGTTCAAATATACCTATTTTAGTGTTAATATTGTTTATTTTCAAAAACTAAAGCAACAGAAAGAGCAAATTATACAGAGACAGGCTGTGCACGCTCCCGTGGGTCACTGTTATAAAAGTCATCCGATGTGTCTCATTGCCTGCTCGTCTCTCTGCTCCTCCTGTGCTCCTCCCTTCTACCCAGCTCCACCTGTCTGCTCCTCTCCAGCTAATATACTGTAGCATCACCTGCGGGGGCCACGCCTCGTCCTCCTCTCCCTCAGGTGGTGGAAGAATCAGTGAACGTCATTCTGTGGGTTCAGCTTCTCTGACAGATGTTTTTTTAATTTGCCAGCTTCAATATGGTCTCCAGTTCTTTTTCAAACTTGTTCTGAAATATGTTCTTCTATTTTGTGCACCACTCTTGAACGTCTTCCATGACATGTGGACAGCTGTCAGTCAATCATTGAGGGACACGCCTCCATTCTAGCAACACACATTCTGATTGAACAGCTCATGGCCAGTGAGCCCACGTGGGTCACTTTTTATTTGGATCAGCACCACAAACATGCATCTGAAATGATTGACAGAAAACCTGACAAGTTCCAAAACAATGTATTTCAGCTCATCACGTGACCTCAAAACAACAGGCCCCCCAATGCTGTAGGCCCCTGGACTTCAGCCCAGGTCAGCCCGTACATTAAAGCAGCCCAGGAAACAGAGACATTCAACAGCACACAGAACCACTGCTGGATCTGAATCACAGTTTTACCAAGACCCAAGGCCAGGCACCACACTTCTTCTGACTGGTTAGTAGGACTATTTAGTGTGGTTGGGAGTGTAAGCTGCACCTCTGTTAGATCCAGAGAAATGTCTGTTAAATCTCTTGGTGAACTCTGTTTATTTTTATTCGCAGGTACACCAGTGATCCGGCACAGCGCCAGAGTCAAGTCAGATTTATTTGTATAGCACATTTAAAACAGGAACTGTTACCAAAGTGTTTATCAGAGCACCATCAGACCCTGCATGTCTGGTGAACTCTTCTACTTCCTTAGCTTGGATTTTGACTCGGGTATCGTCCACCAGGGCTGGGTAAAAAAAATTAACTGATTTTAGTTAAAGAAGTTATTATGATATTCTGTGTATGTATATATCACAGTAAAACCACTTAAAATATTATTTTGAATGAAACTTGTTGATGACATTATTTTGAATGAAACTTGTTGATGACATTGTGAGTTTTTGTTTGTTGTTAGAGCATTTTGATAAGTGGACAGTATTGAAGTGACTGTTCTGATGAAATGTCAACAAATATTTAAACTAATATTCCAGAAAGTTTCTATTTCTGAATTCTTGGATATTTTGGTGTAGAGCAGAGGTCACTAATAGGTGGACCTCGGTCCGGATCCGGACCGAGTGATGGTTCTGTACGGACCTGTGCCCAATAAATTCAGGAAAAAAGATGATTTTCATGGAGCATTTTTCCAGCGATAGATAACTAAGGTGCAGAGACAGGGGAGGTGTGTTTTGGAGGTTCACTCTACTTCAGGTGTTACAGTAATAGTGTCACTCAGTTAATGAGCCAATCAAATATTTTGTTTTCCCTGCACGGCCGGTGCAGCGAGCTCTCAGAGAAGAGTTGAGAAGGAACAGAGGTAGAGACAGCATGTTGTGCTCCAAAATAAGAAAAGTTGATGCTGAAGACCGTTATTTTAAAGATGAATGGACAGAGAAATTAATGTTCATTCTTCCAGCAGGCAGTTCAAAACCTGTTTGCCTCATATGCTCTGAAACGGTCACATTAATTAAAAGTGGCAACGTGAAGTGCTCTTCATCTCTTTTGAGCAACGGTATCTGCTGAAGTCTGAGCAGAGAGCAGTGAATTAATCGAACTGGAAGCCCAGTATGACAGATCCACACTCCTCACCACAAATACTTTTACAGCCCAGCAGCTGCTGAATGTTCACTCAACGTATCGTGGATTTTAGGGCAACATAAAAAAAACATTTAGTGACGGCACAGACCTGAAGGAGTGCTTAAATGCTGTTGCTGAGACATTTGATGGAAAACAAAAAGACGAGACGTGGAAAAAATCAAACAAATCCTGATGTCAGCTTCAACAGCAAGAAGAAAATCAGAAATATTGCAGATGATGAGCTGGCACAGCTGCAGCTGTTCAGAGTCATTGATGATTACAGATGTTACTGATGATGCTCAGCTACAAGAGAACGGCTCTGATTCCATTCTAACCAAGATTTAATTTACTGGCAGGACAATCCCATGTCCATTTCTCTCATTAAGAAAAGTAAAATAAAAAATAAACAAAAGAGAAAAGGTGTTAAATGCTCTGTTTTCAGTTTTTTTCCTAAAAGAGCCATTTTTATTTATTGTTTTCTGAAGTGTTTTACTAGAAAATGTACATTTTTATAGGTTGGTGCCTCTTTAAGCAAAAAGATAAAAATCTTTACTTGCTCTGTTTACACTTTTTTTATACTAAAAGAGCCACTTTTAAATTATTTTCTGTTTTCTAAAGATGTTAACTTTATTACTTTAAGTGTAAGTCTTCAATTCTATAGGCTTGGACCTCTTCAACTTAAGAGAAAAGTCTTATTAGGCTCTGTTTGCACATTTAAGATGTATTTTATTCTGAGCTTTCTGTTTTAATCTGAAATAAAGGCCCTAAATTTATTTCAATTCAATTCAGTTTATTTATATAGCGCCAATTCACAACAGAAGTCGTCTCAGGGCACTATTTGTCTGGGACTACTTTTAAATATGGTAAAAGAGCTGGTTGTTTACTATAGTGCAGTTTGTTAACAGTGAAAATGTGAATACGGGGAGGCAAGACCATAAAAGACAAACGTTGGACTTTCGTTCGGACCTTTCACTAAGAAGAAATTTTATTAACTGGACCTCAGTGAGTTTTAATTGAACACCCCCAGTGCAGAGAATTGTATTTTCTAGTTGAAATTGAACGCATCGTGATGTCGTAACAACAAGCTGTGAAGAAGAGCAAGCTTGTTTTCAACAAGTCTGAATCACGGACAGCTTCACTGCAGGATCCAGACGGTTCCTAACACAGTTCAGCTCCACACTTCACTTTAAGGGGCCGTTTACACGGCACATATTTTGAGTGAATCTGCTACTTTCTCTCTGCGGTTCTGCTGTTCATTTACACGACACCAGTGCCCCCCCTCCTTGAATCTGGAGGTTTTTGAACTCACCTTCCAGAGTGGAGGTTTTTCGCTGACCGCCCGCTGACAACATAAACATCTCCCGCTGAGGCTTTGTGTTAAACCACATGCGCACACGCACGCGCAGACAGACGACATATTTCTATCAACAACATGGCAGCGGACACACTGCTTTCTGAGCTACGACTGATGAAATATATTTTGAGTCTGATATTTAATTAATCTTCACCTGAATGCAGCTGCTGTGACCAACATCTGTGTCGGAAGAGACACCAGTCAGATCCAGTTCTAATATCGCTGTTTATAGAACGAGGCGGGCGGATATTTCACGTGTCGCGCTGCACTATAACATACTAAATGTGCTAAATAATAACAGTTTAACAATAATAAACAGTATTAATGTTAGCGTGGGAGATATATAATGAAGTTATCTGAGCTAAATGAAGCTATCTGGACTCAAGTTATATGATTTAAACGATGCAAAACATGTTGCATGTTATTAAAGTTGAAAATGAAGACATCAGGTTTAATTTTTATTTATTTATTCAACATCACAAACTGTATGTCACACAAACACTGATAATTAAACTGAACACACTATTAAAAACACATTAACTGAACTGTAAACTACATGAACTGGACTCTGCTCTCTGTTTTCATCCTGGATTCTGGCGACATGTTTTTCTGGCTTGAACAGGCTGTCA